TGGTAGAAGCCAAATCCTTGGCAAAGATAACAGACGCAAAGATCAAAGATTTTATCTAGAAGAACCTGGTCNTTGCTCTCGTGCAAACAACCTCTCTGAATGCAGCCCTCTCATAGGTCGCCACAAGCTCAGCCTGAGTAGTTCTACCATCAACTTCAAGTTTAGCAATCCTCCCCTAAGCAGCAAGAATCTCCTTTTTTATAGCCTCATGACTATGTTTCAGTTGACTATAAAAATAGGTCCTTGAAAANTCTGTCACTTCAAGATACCCCACGCCATTGTCAGCGACAAACACTAAGCAATTCAACAACAAGCTCTTGAACTCCTTCTGCTCTGACTTCCAGATAAAGCAGCCTCATTCCAGCCCAACACACTTATAGACAAACGGACAAGCAGAAGTCATGGTCAGAATAGTATTATGCAACCTAAAGACAAGGCTCGAAAGGTGCGAATGGTCTTTTGGTTGATGAACTCCCGAGTGTGAAGTCTCGTTCCTTCCAACTAGGAGACTTGGTCCTCAAGAAAGTAATTCTTGCCACAAAGGATTCGCGAGAAGAAAAGCCAAGACCAAACTGGAACCATAACAGAAATGGTGAGGCTAGACACCTACAAGATCCAGAATTCCGAAGAGAAGGTCTTACCCCATTCGTGGAATGCTGAGCACCTGAAAAGGTACTACCAATGACACCTTAGTAGAGTATAAACAGTAAAGTTAGGGAACTTGATTTTACTTTTTGTATCTTTTTTGGAGTTATTACCCACTATTGTTTGACATAAGCAGTGACTGAATAACATTTTCTAAATTAACTCCAAAAGTTCTTTGCATTTTATTTCAAAAAGAACATTAGTGGCAAAAAACATCACTTTTACAAAAGTAAGGCTACAAATTGCCTTTCTAAAAAAGTCAAAAGTCAAAAGTCCCTAACACTCTAACTACTCTCATGTTCATCCTCCTCCTTCTCCTCAACATCATTATCACCATCAGAGTCTCCATCATTATCATCAGGTATCTCATATGACATGAAGCCTGAAACATCAATATCAGGAAAAACAGTAGAAATCTTTCCCTAAAACTCCTTATAACCATCAATGAAGGCATCTGCAAGGACACTCTTCAAATTACTCTCAGCCTTGATGGCTCTTTCACTGTCCAATAGCAGATCCACCTCAGCCCAAGAAGCTCTCTCGTGAGCTGCCCTCGCCTTTGCCTCTGCTCTCAAACAGGTAGCCTCTCTGAGCACGGCCCTCTCGTGAGTCTCCATAAGTTCAGCCTCCTTGAACGCGTCCCTCTCACGGGTCGCCAAAAGCTTAGCCTCAAGCTTAGCTGCACTCTCATAGGTCGCTAAAAGCTCTACTTTTGCTCTCGTGCAAACAACCTCTCTGAATGCAGCCCTCTCATAGGTCGCCACAAGCTCAGCCTGAGTAGTTCTATCATCAACTTCAAGTTTAGCAATCCTCTCCTGAGCAGCAAGAATCTCTTTTTTTATAGCCTCATGACTATGTTTCAGTTGACTATAAAAATAGGTCCTTGAAAACAAGCATATAGATGCAGTTGAAACTTGAAAAAAATAAAAAACAAAGGAATGTCAAACGCCTAAGGAGGGACTGGAGAAAGGGAGACAACAGTCCCTTACCTGAGTCAGGACTACTAAAAAAGTGTTGATGATTCCCTTGGTGCCCAAAGCACTAATCTCATTAATGTCAGCCGGAAACACAAATCTCTCAAGTTGATCCCTGATAACTCGCATGTTACCTAACATGGAGCCAATCTGAATAGGTGCCCCTATAGAAGTTCCCGCAATAGGAGTCAATGAATGGGAGGCAGGAGGTGTGGTCGACAACGGAGTCTCTAGAGTAGTAGTCACGTCTAAAGGAGTAGCCGATCGAGGAGGCACCACTGGAGGGTTCACTTGAGAGGAGCTCGCCAAAGCTTCGTTCATCCTTGCCACCTTAGGAGGAGGAGTGCTCCTGCTAGAATAATAGGACTCAACCACCATTCTATCCACTGCAAGAGAAATAAAGTGTTATCTAGATGAAAAATCAAGTAAATGAGAAAAGTACAAGGGAATAAACGTAACCTTTCTCTTCAAAGAGAAGTCGCTAGATCTCGAAAAAGGTACACTAACCCTAGCACGGACTATAAGGGAACCTCTGGCTTCACCGTCTTTAAGCATAAGAGCTCCAATGTCCTTTACAGGATGAGCCTTCACAGCCTGCAACTTTCACTTTTGGTCCTTCGAGAGCACATGAAAACCTGCAAAGGGTATGGTGAGTACACAGTTACCAAAAAGGTGAAGGAAAAAGAGTAAGTTTAGGTTGTACCAACTTTCTTAGGAGTACCTCATCCTGTTGGTACCAAAGTCCTATCAACCTCTGAAACCCACTCTTCGTTGACAAACATGAAACAAGACTTCTAGCTATGACAATTGGAGAGCAATTCGATAATCAACTTGCCTCCTCCCGTAGTAAAATAGTACCAATCTCGGTTAGGAACAGGAGTATCACTCAGAGTATAAGCTATATAAAGCTCGTTAGGAGAGTCATCCTCATGGTGCACCTTTCTCCACAATGCTAGAAAATCCAGCAAAACTCTCAAACCATTGGACGCCAACCGCCCTGGTGCCAATAAAAAGTAATGCAAAATATGACAAATAAAAGAAGGCATTGGGAACATAAGCCTAACCCCAAGCATCTCCTCATAGATAACAATGTCTTTAGAGGAGTCATCACAAGCAGACTCACCCATCTTAGCTCGACGGCACAGTACCGTTGGAGGAATGTTATAAGCAGAAACACTCCACAGGATATCAACATCAGTATTAAGTGTGCTAGAAATGGTACTTACTTTGGATCTATTGTTGTCAAGAGCTACCTTTCCTTGGTGATTTTTGTTACGAGGGCATGAAGGGTTGCCTGAGCAACTACCAGGAAGGCCTTGAGGAATCTGACTTCGAGAAATTCTACCTGAAGGAACTAGATCATCCGCCACATTGCCAGAATTGTCACCACCAAAAGTGATTGTCCCCAACCGCCAATAGCTCCTCGCCAAGCACATAGGTCGCCCCCAACCATAGCTCCCAGTGCTTGGGCCACCCTGACCTCGACATATAGCGCCTGAGCCGCCCTAGCCTTGGCCCCTAGCATCTGGGAAGACTGGCCAATGATGCCCAATCCCTAGTCAATAGCACGCGTGAAGTCGCTCACATGAGCAGTTTGCTCACCCACACTGGCGCCCTTTTTCCCAACTTCGGCACCTCCCTTGCGTGAGCTTGCTAACCCAGGCCCCCATCAGCGCGAGTGCGCCCAACTATCGCCGCCTGCTCGCCCAGACCCCTCTTGGCGCCTGCGCGCCCAACTACTACCTCCTGTTTGCCCAGGCCACCTCTTTCAGCCCCCTACTCTTCCTCCTTNCTTGCTAACCCAGGCCCCCATCAGCGCGGGTGCGCCCAACTATCGCCGCCTGCTCGCCCAGACCCCTCTTGGCGCCTGCACGCCCAACTACTACCTCCTGTTTGCCCATGCCACCTTTTTCAGCCCCCTACTCTTCCTCCTTTTCAAAGCCCATTGGGCAAACACCGGGCAGCCCCAGTAATGCGCAAACAGTCGCATCAGATAGCCCCAACGACGCATGAATAGCAGCGGCAATGGGCGCCCATGGCACGTCCACTCTGGCGCCTAGCACCTCCCTCTCCTTTCCGAGGACAACACCGATTTCTTCGAGTTCTCCATCAAGATTCGCAAACCTCTGCACATCTTCTCCTCTAGTCAACATTGTTCAAAGTGCACAACTCAAAAGTCTCACCTAAGTGTTCAGGATTTCAAGAAAATCTCAATTTCCCTCTCTCAAAATTATATGGAATGGGTGGAATAAAAAAGGACCTCTCTATTTATAGCCAAGGGTTTTTAAATCCTATTAAGGAATGGAAAAATGGGAAAAGTCTCTATTTGGAACTAAGAGTTCTTCTAGAATCCAAATAAAAATGGGTCTTAAGGTGTTCTGCATAGATGAAATATATCACGAAGGGGAAAAGTCACCAGTTNACAAAGGGGAAAAGTCTCTATTTGGAACTAAGAGTTCTTCTAGAATCCAAATAAAAATGGGGATTGTCTTAAGGTGTTCTGCATAGATGAAATATATCACGAAGGGGAAAAGTCACCAGTTAAAAGGAGTCTCCACCAACCGAAATTTAAGGTTCAACCAAATGCCCCATTTTCAAGTTTCATTGGACACAGGGGCATTGGGGGGCAAATGATGAGCCTGACCTAACTCATGCTATAAACCCAGTTTAAATTAAAGAGCCCAACTTATAAAATCTAGTACCCGTCCCAAAGGGATCCACGCCCAGTCAAGCTCATCAGGGTTTGAGGAGTTACATCACCAAGGGAGTAAGTAGGATCATCTACGAGCCTCATCCACGCCACCCTGAAAAGAGACAACCCCCACATCATCTTTTGACCGAATCTTATGGAGAGTACCGTAACTGTCTCACCCATTGATAAAAGAGCGTCAATTCCATTAGATTAGCCACTTAGTTACTAATAAGTCGCCTCAATCTATTAGGAGATGACTATAAATTGTAAACACCGCCAACACTTAGGAGATATCACATTTAGTCAAGCACATCTCTCCTATCTCTCTCAGCTTATGACTCCCTTCTCTTGCTACACACTAGAAATAATAAAATCTCCCCGCGACCCTAGCCAATCAAAGTGGATGTAGGTCACGTTGACCAAACCACTATAAATCCTTGACTTGCATGTGTTTTTATCTCTCTCTACTTTATTATTGCATGTATTACTGTTTATCTGACGGATGGTGTGCAAACTCAATTTGTGCATCATCAATGATCATCACAAGTTGAAGAAATATGCTCATTATTCTTAAAATTACAGTACATAATGTAAAGGGTGGAGCTCATAACTCTCCATTGAAGATATGCAACGGGCAGATGCCACTTGCTTATCAAACACATTTTCAATGTTCATGAGCATTAACCCGATCAAGGGTCAAGCTCGTAACGTTCAAGTGGTGGTTTTCCTTCATGGGTATCTGCTATATAGGTGCTAACAAAATCTTTACATATAAATGCTTTATAGCGCGGAGGACTGCCTTTGTTAGTCAGTGGTCTTGCAGGTTCGACAAGGCTGTCACTGGAAGGAAAGATGAAGCTAGCGACAGTTGTTCGAGCAACACTTGTGTTCGTTACAACTCGATGATCAGCACTCCTCAACTTCCCATTGCTAATTATCTGTAAACATAATTAACTGTTGGTGATAGAGAAAACTAACTGGGATATTGAATGGAAAAAGAATCGAAGTGCTTGATATGGAGAAAAATTATGCATAAACTTGTAGCAAACTAAAAGAAATATCAGGGTGCAATGAAGAATCAACTAGCAGATTTGATTTGAGAAACAAGAACACGTGAATTCATGAAAGATTTGGGGGGAGGACATCTAAGTAGGATAAAGGGGTGGGTCAATGTCCAAATAACTAAGAATGGACTGCTATCCCAAGGACTTGTGATCTTAGTAGAAGTACGTAGAGCAACTTCTACGAGTCCCTTTTCCAGGGGGAATATCCAGGGAATTCAAGAGCGTGGTTACTATGAACAACCAGTACACCATGTGCGAAAACTTAAGCAAAGATTTTTTATCCATGATAACTGTGAGAAGTATTATGCTACAGTCACATCTGTGAGGACTCATTTTTATTCTTATTCTCCCTCTTTTTAAATAAGNTTCCCATTGCTAATTATCTGTAAACATAATTAACTGTTGGTGATAGAGAAAACTAACTGGGATATTGAATGGAAAAAGAATCGAAGTGCTTGATATGGAGAAAAATTATGCATAAACTTGTAGCAAACTAAAAGACATATCAGGGTGCAATGAAGAATCAACTAGCAGATTTGATTTGAGAAACAAGAATACGTGAATTCATGAAAGATTTGGGGGGAGGACATCTAAGTAGGATAAAGGGGTGGGTCAATGTCCAAATAACTAAGAATGGACTGCTATCCCAAGGACTTGTGATCTTAGTAGAAGTACGTAGAGCAACTTCTACGAGTCCCTTTTCCAGGGGGAATATCCAGGGAATTCAAGAGCGTGGTTACTATGAACAACCAGTACACCATGTGCGAAAACTTAAGCAAAGATTTTTTATCCATGATAACTGTGAGAAGTATTATGCTACAGTCACATCTGTGAGGACTCATTTTTATTCTTATTCTCCCTCTTTTTAAATAAGCCCTAAGGTGGAACACCTTGGAATCCAATTGCACCATTTATCAAATGCACAAGTCTGCATCTGTCCATAAACCAAAGCCAATTTGGCATCAGAAACACTATTGCTTCTTATCAAGGCTTCTTACATTTTGAGTTGTCAAATGCTTGCTCACTCCACTGTTTCTTAAGCACATGAATAGCGTTTCGTGTTTAGAAATTAGTAGACTGAATACTGAATGCTGTTGAAGGCATGACTCTGATCACTTTGATTTCAACACAAAACAGTTGCACAAAAACTGAAGAGATGCAGAAATATACCTGTAGCATGTGGCCTATGTTAACCACAAATACATTGGTAACAGGCTCAACTGCAAGCCATCTTTCATCTTTTAGAACTTGAAGGCCATTTACCTCTCCTTGGTTAAGAAGGGTGATAAGGTTGACATCACTGTGTTTAGGTAATCCCAAGGTCAAGCTTGGGTCTGGGCATGGCGGATAATGATTCAGAGCCATTAGCTGAACTTGGCTTAGTCCAGACCCTAAATATCCTGGTTTGAGTCCTATTCCTTCACAGATCAGATCGAGAAGCCACATGCCCAGCTTCCTCACCTCAACTGCATAGCTTCCAACCACCTCTCTGCAAAAGGCACAATAAAGAGAACTGTCAGGGTAAAACTATAGATTGAGAAATATTTTGAAGATAATGGAGTTAACTGTAAGAGCTTGAGTCCTCATTCATTTTATCTTTGTACCAGACAACTGCATCATACTTGATTACATTGCGATTACTATAAGTGTTTGAGATTCAATAAAAGTTGGCAACCTTTCTGCATTTCACAAGAAAAAAAATGTTACCCGGATTATGGATTGATTTAGTCTGTGCTACTGGTACAAGTATGTTTTATTACACTTTTCCCAATACAATGTGCGATGGGGTTATACCTGATTGGTATGCTATTTCAGGTTGTAGTTTGCTTGGTAACTCTTATCCGAATCACTTGCACTAGTATATCAAATAATACACAATCGTGTATTCATGTATGCATAGTTAACTTATTTTAATAGGAGTTCCGAAGTAAATCATAATCAAGACAGCATGCCCGCAAGTGGTTGTAAATACGAAAAGCTAGCAGTTGCAATTTGAATTATGCCTGTGTTGTTTCAAGTTGTGCAACCCCACACCACTTNAGACAGCATGCCCGCAAGTGGTTGTAAATACGAAAAGCTAGAAGTTGCAATTTGAATTATGCCTGTGTTGTTTCAAGTTGTGCAACCCCACACCACTTCATAGGCTGTTAGGGTAGCTATGATTCTGGTATTTATGAGGACTGGATTGGTGATGTGCATTATCCACCAAAATCAATGGTATGAAAATCACAGAAGCAATGAAGCACAAGTAACATACCTGTACCGAGCTGGCTTTTCGGGCCAATCTTTTACATGATCCTCTAGAGGATGACAAGGGTGCCGAAAAGTGTCTCTCCAGAAATGCACCTTCTCTCTTACATAATCAATGCTCGTGTACAATCTACAACTTTTCTTTGGATCCTCAGAGTAAAAGCTTGCCTTCTCCTCTGCAGGCATATCAAAGAACTCTGCGCCCACCATCAAAGCATTGCGCATTAACTCCTCTGGTACCCCATGATTGATCACCTAATTTTGAAAAATAAAAAACATATGGGAACCCTAGATTTGGATTAGGAGTCATACAAATATCCAGCTGTTAATTGTTAGAAGATATCATCTATCCTACATAGAATATCACATAAATAGGAGTTGAGTTTCTAGAAGAAGATGTAAAGACCTGAAAGAATCCAAATTCTTGGCTAGCTTTTATAATCTTCTGAATCAACTCTGCCTTGTCATGAGCATGTTCTCCTTTAAGATCAATCACTGGGATGGTCTTGCAGAGAGGAACATCTTGCTTCCCAGGTCTCCTATCTGGGGGTAAGACATAAGACTCTGGCACAGTCTGAATGTTGCTCCTTATTGAAATAAGCTTCTCCATTCTCCAATGATTCTGATACAAGTTCGCAAATAGGTAAAACAATGAAAAAAATGGCTTTCTTGTATGTATATATTATGTCAATGAACCCAATTCTACTGCAGGAAAAAAGGGACACGGATCGTGTCAGTGAGAGCAATTTTAGTATCCCTGTTTACCTTCTTTTGTAGATAAAATCTTCAATGAACTAAAGCACCCAACTTGATAAAGATGCTTGCTGAGTAAGGCCAAGCAAGAAACCTTGCGTTGACGAGATATAGAAACAAGCTTGCAGACGTATGCTTAGGCCGTTTCAATTCAAACTAGTACAATTGATTGGTCCATAGTATCAACAACTCCTATATAAATATTCTGAAGAACAGAGCACGTTGAGGTGGACAAAAAAACAAACAACTGGTGCGCAAAAATTAGTGGAATCAGATTCCATTCGAAACCGCTTATCCATTGAGCTCAGGCTCTTTAGTGCATTGACTCCATTAAACCAGAGCTAAACTTCCGTTAAAATCGGGGTTGTCGCAGCTGTAACAGATAAGCATTTCAGATATATGGGTCCACAAGCAATAACTGTAATTTTGTTCTGGGAATGATTTCGTTTCTGGTAAGAATCAAATTTATATATTTATGGACAGGATTTGGGTAACACAGTGCATTGGGAAGGGTTAGATTATTTGGGATCAATTCTAAAGTTTTTTTTATCATAACTTAAATAAATTGTATAAAGTGGAGCCATGACAATGNACAGTGCATTGGGAAGGGTTAGATTATTTGGGATCAATTATAAAGTTTTTTTTATCATAACTTAAATAAATTGTATAAAGTGGAGCCATGACAATGAGACAAATTGCAGCTTGCCTTTGACTCTGTTATACATACATTATAAGAGCAAGAAAAAGAAAAATCAAAGGTAAATTGAGCTTGCCTCTATTATACATCCATTCAGATTAACTAGTGAATTTTCCGTCTTTGTGAACAAGCCATTCACCAAACAACAATATCAAAAAACAGCCCAGTAGACATTAAAAAAAAAAAATAGTCAAGAAAGTATTTTGACAGGTCATACACAATTCTTCAATGAATCTCCTGCTCCCTGAAAGAAGCAAAAAGAAAGAGCAAAATCAGCGATGAAGATACCAACAAGAGATAAAACCACAGCCGAAGTAGTAGACTCTCCAACACCTTTGGCACCTCCCAAGGTGGTAACTCCCCATGCACAGCTCACAATAGATATGATTGCACCAAAAACTTGGGACTTGATCATTGCACTAATTATATCCCATGATTTAAGAGCTCTCTGAGCAGAATCCAAGGTGATGTTTATGCTAATTCCATACACACTATCAGCCAGAAGAGCACTGGATGCCATCCCTACTGTGAAACACATTAGAGTGAGAAATGGTAGAGCAATTGACGTAGCAATCACCCTTGGTGTCACCAGATAATCAACAGGATCTGCGCCAAGAACTCTAAGGGTGTCGGTTTGTTCAGAAACTTGCATGGTTCCCAACTCTGCAGCAAATGCACTCCCAATACGCCCTGCAACTACGATTGATGTGACCACAGGACTCAACTCTCTTGAAAATGCTAGGGCTAAGACCCCACCAACAGATCTGTTTAATCCTAATCTGGTGAACTCTCTAACAAATTGGATAGTAAAGGCCATGCCAACAAAAGCTGCAGTTAAGAGACACACCCCAACTGATCTTGGACCAACTCTTTCCAGTTGTTGGAGAGTGTTCCTCCAGTGGACTTTGCCTTTTAGAATCCTAATAATTACTTGCCCTGCCAGTATAAGAACTGATAATCCTCTCCATAAGTACCTAGGAGGAGACCACTTACTCAAAAAGGTCTCTGATTCATGATCCAATGCTTCATTTATGTTGGTATTTTCTTCAGTCACGGATACATATGGGTGACCATCATCTGTATTTGGAATTGCAAATTTTCTGGTTTGCCGAACAGGTATGAGGGACTTATAGGCCTGAGCTCCTCTGGTGAATTCAAGTCTTCTGGGAAGTGAACCCGAGTTTGGGTGTTTTATTTTCACCCAAACTCCAGGTTGGATAAAGCTGCTTCTGCAATTTGTTAAGAGCTGCAAGTTAAAGTGCATGGGTGGAGGAAAAATGAGGTTTAGACATGCAAGAGCATGTACACACAAATACATGTGGAGGGGAGAGGGGGAGAGAGAGAGACCTGTCACAGAAGTAAAAGATTGGATGAGGATGGTAAGCTGTTTGCATGGTAAGCATGTTGCTGTCTAAACTTTTTTGTAGGTAAGTTGAGTCCTCCAACTTCAGTGTTTGCAAAGAAGAGAAACTGCGTAGCCAAGTGATAAGAAAAAATTGTGCTCAACTGAAGGTGGAACCTGAGCTCAAATATAGAAACTATTATGGAGATTGTGTATGGCAATGCTGCGGAATTTTACCAGCCACTGATTGAAAAGACAATCCACAAATTCTAAGACTAGAGAAGTTCAAGAATAAGCATGGAAACAGCAAAAAAGTTAAAAAACTATTTTTGCACCAAACTGACAACAAAAACCTACTACTCAACCAACAAAGTTTTTATCCCAAAGGGTTGGCCACATAAATCCTGTTTCTGTTAAGCCATTAACAATAATTTCGTCTTTCAAAAATCTTATTCAAAGTTAATTTTGTACTAAAATTTGAAAATGTAGTAGTTCGTATTGCTATTTACTTGATCACAAACATGCTTGAGTTGATACCTACCAGTTAAGTTTTTTCGTTTTGGCCAAAGTGTAACAGCTTCGTGGACTCAGAAAAATAGCCCCAAAAGCATATAAATCAATCCATACAATAAACAAATAGCTATGCCCTGTATCCTAGTTTTCAATATATCAAAAGCTAATTTTCTGGCTTTGCAAAAAGTCAGACCCTCGCAACTCAAATTTTTAAAATTTGTTTCTTTCTTCTTTTTTATCTTAAGAAAAGCAAGCGTCTCCGAGTTCTTGTCGAACACTATCAAAAGAGTCAATCACAATTAAATCATTAATTAAAAAAAAAACAGGAATCCTTAATAATTACTAATACATGATTTGAGAACTTTAGCATTCTGCAGATCAGCATACAATGAAAACAAGTCTGAATTCATCACTGATTACGGATAAAGAAAATTGTCAAACAATATAAAGAATCAACTTTATAAAGATCAATTTGGCTGAGTTTTAGGGTTTAGTGTTTAAGTTAAGCTTTAACTAACAACAAATAAATTAGAATTATAAACACATACATGCACAGAAAAGGAGTACCTTGCTGTAGCAATCAAAATATGATAGGTTATCGAAATTCATATTGCACTGTTCGTGAGATAAACAAAAGACCAAAATTTTAACTGGAGCAACTTCACTGAATTAAAGATTCCCCAAGTTCCGAGCTAAAACAGAAATATTGTAATTATGATATTTTGACAGACTACAAAGCATCAAATTGAAAATGTATTTTCTCCCAGTTGAAAACGATAAAGAAGATGAGAACAACAAATACTATCATCATGATGCTTATGGCAATTGCTACTACTATCCTGATTCCTTAATATCAGATAGTTCTGCATTTCAATGTACATATTAAGTTACAAACCATGGTAACATGGTAGACATGACTAATTTTTCTTCAACTTGGTGTGACCTACAACATGTAATCATGCCTTGATTGCATCAGCGTAAAACGTTTTTTTTTGTTCAATCCGTACTCTATCCAATTTCCATAAAAAAAAGATTTGTCCAATTCACTCAATTTCATTCAATTCTCATCCAATTTTTCAGAAACGTACAAAATATACTTACCGGCAGGCATAATCTCATACAATTTCAAACCAATTCCATGTTGTTGAAGAAATTCAAAGAACTCAGCGAAGAAATTGAAGAAACTAGATGCAAATTATCCAAATTGAAGGACTTGCAGGCAGTGTGCTGCTTCGAGGTGTGTGGTGGTCTTGATGAATTGGGGGTTATGGGGACGAATCCATCGAAAGTTTCAAAGTGGTGGCCGCTGCAGGGGGTGGGTGCGCTGGTTCGAGATTTATAATGGTCTTGATGAGGGTTTATGAATGGACTGTGATTTTGAAAAGTGACGGTGGTTTTTGGGACTGCACTAGGTTGTGGTGGAGGTTTATGGGTGGCTCGAATGCACAAGAGCAGTGGTGATGGTAGATAGGTTTAGGGCACGAGTGCTTCAAGATGGGGTGGTGGCGAGGTCGTGGGTGCATATCACCGACAGCGTTCCTTTGGGCCGGTTGTAAGCTGTGGTGGGTCTTAATCAGAAACAAAAAAGAAAAAGAAGCAAACAGGAGGAGAAGAGAGAACGGAACAAAAGGGCTTACCTGGAAGTGGTCGGTGACGGCGAACACAGTGAAGGGAGAGATGATAGTGAGGGAGGTGGAGGAGTTACTGATGGAGAGGTGAGAGTGAGAGACCGGTGATCAGCTGTGTTGTGTTTGCTGGTTTGACTAACAGAGCAATAGCATTACAGAGGACGACTAAATTTCCCAATATACCCTCGACCACAAGCCAAGTAATACTATTGTAGTAATGTTNGAGCTGCGACGTCTGCTGTGGTGGTCGGTGACGGCGAACACAGTGAAGGGAGTGATGATAGTGAGGGAGGTGGAGGAGTGACTGATGGAGAGGCGAGAGTGAGAGACCGGTGATCAGCTGTGTTGTGTTTGCTGGTTTGACTAACAGAGCAATAGCATTACAGAGGGCGAGTAAATTTCCCAATATACCCTCGACCACAAGCCAAGTAATACTATTGTAGTAATGTTGTTAAATTAAGTTTTTTTTTAACAGTGTCAAAATTAAGCCTCTCAATCATATCGGGGGGAAATAGATTTATATTAAAAAATATTTTATTTGTACCCGATTCATTTATTAATTCATGTTTAACAAATTGTATCATAACGGGTTCATGTCGTGTATTTCTTCTGATTAACTTCACACATTCTTGATTTATTAATTAATCGTGTTAGATCGAATCTATTCAGTTTATTACAACAACATCTCTAGCATTANTACTCGATTTATTTATTAATCGTGTTAGATCGAATCTATTCAGTTTATTACAACAACATCTCTAGCATTATGTCATATACTTGGCATGGATTGTAGAAGTTACATAGGAAAAAAATAACTCATCATCTCCGACAACATGTGAGCTAGTTCACATCTTCTGTCATGAACCTCCACAGTTTCTGAATTTTCAAAGCCATGAAATTAGATCAACACCAACCTTGAGGCCATCTATTTTTCGGATCCCATCTCGGGAACCATTTCTTCTTTTTCTTCGAATTGGAACCCAAGGTGGCGCTCTCTTTTCGTCTCCATATCAATTTGAACAAAAAACCTCTACGGCTTGGTGTCGGGGGACATTGAAATTTAGCTGCTTCAATCTTAGACATGCTGAAGAAGTCATCTTTCCCACTGGGAAAGATTTCGTCTCGAGTTCGAATCGTGTTAAGCCTCAAGTACCTTTGTTCGAGGGACTCCTGGGGTATGTCTCTGGCTAACAATGGAGAAGCACCACCCCAGTTGTTAGTGCCTAAAGATGGGTGTTGGGGTGTCCTGAATTCTAACAGTTCTCTCTGCCTCATATCTCCTTATTGTCTTTCCAACCTTACCTGACTATATCCGCTCTTCCTATTGGTATAATCTTTGGCATATTTATGTAGTATACATACACAGTGGTGAAAATTTCCACACCACCATTGGATTCTTCTTCATTGGTTTTAACCCCCCCAAAAAACGAAAGCAACTGGTGACGAAAATGCTCATTTTGTCCTTGAAGACACCGGCTAGCCGTATGTAAAGGAATCCATGATTACTGCCTATGTTACTTTATAAGGTACGTTTTGGGTAAAACACTTGTTAGAGACAAAAAGGGGCGGCCATTACAAGACCTTAAACAAAGATGTCTGTTGTTTCATAGGACAAACAAGTGCAGACAGCAAAGCACCTAGTCGGTAAGTCCTCGTTTATAACCTGATTCCTTCTGTGTACTTGCAGTGATTCGTTATTTTCATTGCTAATAAAGAAGACAAGAAACTAGCATCGTAGTCGAATGACGAGGTATGGAATTTCATGCATGATTTTATTGAATAGTTTAATAAGAGCATGTTAAGCATGCACAATAGTCATGAATTGTATCCACACATGCCCGGCATTGGAAAACAATAAACCAAGTTTTGACACCTAGATGAATGCATCACAATACGAAACCTCCGTAAGAAGGGGTTAGGGTTACCGTGTTCAGCTGCAGCCACAAAACAGCTATTAAAAAACACATTGCAGGGCTTGGAATGTCAGAAAATGGAAGGCCAGACCTGTTTAGGCCGCCTTTTGTCTCATAATTCACCAGAAGAGCTTAAAACACCATATAGAGCTTGGGTATCAGATAATTCAAGACTTGCTTACTTTTCTACAACGATAAGATTTGTTCATATGATAACCCGGCCAAGCACTAGAGTAGAGTGCAAACCAAGTGTTAACCAAAGATCAATACTTGAGGCAGTATAAAAAATGCAATTAGGGATATTTCAGTGTCGCAAGTTTAATATCTTACATGGTAGCAGGCTTGACTAGTTAGCAAAAAACTCAAAACTTCCAGCAGAATTCCATCAGTTACATCTAAATAAAGCACGAGGAGTTCGAACTGGATGAGGCACCGACCAAAAGAAAAAGGTTGAGGCAAGTTTGAACTAAACAAAATTACATAAAATTCCGAAATGTACAGGGTAACTTGTAATATGTTAATATGCTTCCATAACTAAATTGAGATTGAATTTCCATAAGCACTCTTTCAATTTGCTTCCGCCAGCCTTGTGCGTATCAACTCAGGACTTGTTATCCTATTGATGCTGCAAAAGGACATGTAACATCATATACTCTTTAAGTATTCATGTTTCTGAACCTATAAACAATAATCCAATCAAATGATGACAAACCCCAATTTACATCCTTGATGTTCACATACCACACAAAACAAACAAGGTGCATACAAGACTTACCATAGCAGGAGATCCCCGCTAGATGCTGACTTCTCATATATCCATTCAGGAACTAGTTCTTGCAACAACCTAAGCTGCTCTTCTACTTCTCCTGTAAATGTAAACATGAGGACTTGGTGAAAAAGAAGTTTTTGCAAGATCAAAAGGTAGTCTATGTTTCTAATGATCAGAAACAAAGCTTACTTCTATCAACAATATCCAACTGGCTTGCTATTATCCTGTGCATAAGCTCGTCTTTTGTAATGATAGAGCGCTTAATTGACTGAAATAAGAAATGAATCCTGTCAAAGAGCTTAGGTAAGCTGGCAATCATCTGCTGCCGCCATTTTGCTTGAGAGATTGCTGGATCTTGCTCTTCTAGTGCCTTCCTCTCTTTCTCTCTTATCTGCAGAGAAGCATTGAGGTTGGATTTCTATATGAAATAATAATGTGGGCCTTCTTTATCAAATTGATATATTTCATATTTGACAAGATGTAAAATGCAAGAATATCAGTGGAGCATATATAATGATGTTATCAAAGTCTGAATCTAAGAAATAACTTAGAGAACTTCATTTATTAAGTCACTTTATATTTGACAGAATTTAAACAATAATGGCATACATTTATGAAATGGGTCATCTTAATCACCTGTCCCTGATTCAAATTTCAATTACAATAGAACGGGGACAGCAAAATATCTTCATTTCACATTGCAGAACATAAAATATAGGACATGGGCATGTCCTACACCGAAACATGCACAGAAAAAGATTAGAGCATAGCAAATTCATTATGGGCTTACTGATTGCAGAAGATTCTCAGGAAGAATGTCAAAAATATCACTGTCGATCAATAATCTTTGACTCTCACTACCTTCATCCTCTAACTTTGCATTCTTCACAGGAGTGTCAAATTTCAGGGACCTACTACGAGGTGGACGCCTAACCAATTTGTTTGGTGATCTGGTTGTATCATCATCTGGGCTCATGCAATGCCTCTTTGGTGGTTGCAATGCAGGTGTCACACTCATCAGCTTTGCTGGTGTTGAAACGTGGTTGGCAGGAGTTCCTTGGATGCTAGCATTTCCAATGGAGAAGCAATCTTCATTCTCTGTCAAGTCCATTTTTTTGACTGGTGTTGCAGCAGGTTCAGGATGAGATGGTGGTAGACTGGCAGCAGAAGCCCCAAGTGCTATGCATTCTTCATCCATTGATGGTTTTGAAGAGGATTTAATAGGGGATGGAACAGCAGGTGCCCTAATTCCCTTTCGAGAGGAATGAGTGTTCAATACTTCTTGATTGGAGCCTGGCTGGGAGAAGCGCCTCCGGAAAGATTGAGACAGAAGGGATGATGCTGCTGGCTGCTGTTCTACAAGAGCATCAGTTGATATCTCACAAGTCAAGGATGAAGTGGAGGTTTTGATTATGTTTGTACGCAGATCTTGCTTTGAGCGATTGAACGGCTCCGGCAGTGTTCCCTCAGGAATTTCATCCCCCTAAAATGCAGAAGTCACATTTTTAATGACAAGAGTACCAAAGATGTATGAAAGAGAAGCTAAAACACAGTCCATTTCTTTTGGAGATTTTATCTTCAAAAGTACAGAGCAAAATCTGTCTGGCTATAATCCCACCTTTTCTCTAGATCCATGCAAGGGTAAAAAGTATATCAACAAGTTCAAGGCTATTAGGAAGTCAATAGAGGAGAGCACTTAAGATGGGAGGATTTCACTACAAGATTGTCCTGGGAAAGAGGGCTAGACACCGCAGGTAATGCAGGTTTGTTATGCTTAGTTTTTGAGTGTCAGATGAATAACAATGGTGGCCTGAAAATTGAAGGTTTTTACAACATTGTGTGAGGATTTTAAAATGAAACCTCAAGGAAATAACTTTCTCCAAATGCAACTGGATCAACCTACTGTATTAATTACACAGATGAAGCACCACATGATAGTGGTAAAACAATGGCTTTTATGCTTTCAATCAATACCACTCCAAAGAATCATGCCTATTACATGAGCCCTAAAGTAGCATCAACTACTCAGTCCTAGGAAATATGTAAGAATAATGATACTCCAAAGTTCCAGAAATCAAACGCAACAACTAAAAACGGCACATATTTAATAAATTACACATAGGAAGTATAAAATTAGCTTACCTCAGGATGGGATTTAGAGAAATCCAAAAGCCGAGAATGAAAAACTTTTCTCAACCGTGCATTCCCGCTAGCCAATTTCATCTTCTCATCATTATCAATCGCATTGGTATTCAGTGTAACATGAAGGTCTGGCCTCATACAACTTGTTCGCTCATCATGTGTAAGAACTTTCTTTACCTCAATTGCCTCGGGTAAAATAAACTTCAGTTGAGCTAAATGACTATAAGTAAACCTCCTAGGAAATCAAATCAAATCAATTACAACAAGTCAGTACCCATAAAAAAAAATTCTTAATAATACAATTTAGAAACCCGTGTGAATGCAGATTTACTACCTATCAGTCAAACACTCTATCTTGGGGCTAATATTTATAAATGTTGACATAGATCCCTTCAACTGAAGCAGGCGAATTGAACTATCCAAGCTATTGAAGAAACTGTCCAATATCTCATATCTGAAGACAAAAACACTAAAATCATCAAAAAGTGCACAGACCAACAAGCATAAACACAATGTCACCTCAAATTGACTGTATATAGTGTTCAAGAAGTTTGTTAAAAAATTTTTTTTAAAAAAAAGGCCTCCACAACATTTTGTCAAGCTTGCAGGCCCTTACCTTCTCAAATACCATACAACAAACGACACTCTTACATGTCCATAACTCAATACTGTCAAAACTCAACAATGAATACATTTGACCATATATACCCAAAATAATAAAAAAAAATTTGAATTTACATAATGTTATCTTTATATAGTCACTAAACAACAAAATCACCAAAGAATATACTAAACGACGTTCACAAGATTCATTGAATTTGTTTTCTTTCTTTCCAATAACAACATCCTCGCAGATTTTCAGTCTCTTTTCTGTTCCGGATCTATTAAGACAGCAGCATCATTAAGTGATTAATCCACATCCAAGAAATTCATCAGAAAGACAACACAGGTTCTTACATTTGTACTAAGTTCCTCAGATCTATAAGCAAAACAACCTTCAAAGAAACTCACAGGCACTTACTTTTCGGGGAGCTTTGCTGAGCCATCGGCCTTCTTTGATTTAGCAGCCGCAGTTTCACTTGGCAACGTCGCGATCTGATGTTTTGCAGCGTCCACAATCGGGTTGGATCGAGTAGGCGGGTCCGGAGCAGGTTTCTGGAGCCTCTGGGCGGCTTGTCTGACTTCTTTCACGGACATCGCCGCCCGGCGGTTCTTCAATCTACGCGGAGGGTTAATCGGCTTTTCAGGTGTTACAGAGTTCCATGGACTTTGATTTGTAGCTTTGTTCTCCGTTTGATCGGACGGTGATACTGACGGTTTGAAGCTTGAACGGAGTATCTTCTTTGACTTGAAGGGATCAAACGGTGATGATTCAGATGACTCCATTGCTCTGAGTGTGTGTGAGTGAGAGAGAGAGAGAGAGAGAGAGAGAGGCTCAGGGCTTAGAGGGA